AGCATGGCATTGTGGGATCTGTAGTTAATATTGAATTTACATTTCTTTATCAGATTTCTTCATCTAATAACTCACATCAAATTAAACCATTTGATACATTGGTGTAAATCTTCAAACAATACCCTTCAAGTGCGTAAACCCTTCAAAATATTAAACGTTAAGTTTTAACACCATGTTCTCTCCTTTGAGACCTGGACACACATGATACTGTAGTGAAAACACTAGTATTAAATACTATTTCACTCATTTTGGAAAACTTATAAAAAAAACGCAGAAATATTTGAAAGTCTACTGAAGCCAAGTCCTATTCACAATCAGCGGTGGCCATAGGCCTGGCTTTTGATTTTGTGCAGCTTACACTTGGTTCTTGTTTAAAAGCTCACTTTTCCGATTTTCCATAATGTTTTTTAACAAAATGGGGGACTATAGCGGTCTCATTTTAAAATGTCACAGCTCCAGAATTGTGCCGATGATTTGCGTGATATATGGACCCCTGCAAACAGTTTTAGCTGCCCATAGCCGTCCACATTATTCGACATTTGGAAGTTTTTGCTTCCTCGATTTTTCTGAATATTTAAAACCAGTAATTCTGTGGAAAAAGTTGGGCTTAGACTCTCCTGAGAGAAGGATGGCCTTCCCAGGCTATGCTGTCTGACACACACACACACACACACACACATATTGGGTAAACATATATTTATGGGGACTGCTCATTCATTTCTATGGGTAAAATGCTAATGCTAACTATGACAATCTTAACCCCTACCCAGCCTTAACCATAACCATAAGTAACCAAACAAAATACAACAGTTTTTGCATTTTTAGTTTTTTTCTCATTGCAGTCACAGATTTCCTTAAATAGAGTTTAAAAACGGGTTTTCATCACATTGTGAGGACATTGTGTCCCCATAAGGTAAGGTATACCTGCTCTCTCTCTCTCTCTCTCTTTCTCTCACACACACACACACACATTTAAAAACAGATTTTTTCCCCGTATGTTGATAGAACTCTCAAACCTTTTAAAACGTGTCAAGCAATTTAGACTTGGCATTTTAGGCAACAGAAGAGAGACAAGACGATTTAAAACCTCATTTTTATTTATTCACACCATCTGCCATTCTTCTTGCTTATCTTAGAACACAAGTGACAGTAGCTCACAAAAACTGCCGGTAATGAACACTGGTTATCAACAGCTGTACAGACTCACTAATACTTTTAACTGCATCAGAAAGAATGTTATAAATCACAGAAAAAAGCTTTCTACACTATTTTTATAACAAATCATTTTACCTTTCAATCTAATCAGTCATAATTAATTACAGAATAGAATAGAATAGGAGCTACTTCGAGAAAGCCCATTAAATCCAAATATGCACGTGTAAGCTGCCAACAGATGAAACCAAGTCTGTATGTGTGTACAAATATATAAGCAAAATCTTATTTTTACTGTTAATATGAAGTATCCCTATGTCAGCAGTTATTGTCATTAAAGCGTTAGTTTACTGAAAAGTTACGGGGTAAGAAATATAGGTGAATGATGTGCCACGTAGTACCCGATAAAAAAAGTTTTGTTTATAACATTTTCAGCACTAGAGAAGTGAAAAATTGTGGTAATTACCTTTTCATCTGTGGAAAATTGCGTAATGGTCTGGTTGGGGTGAGGCGTTGTTTGTTTGCTTTGGGCCAGTTTCTTTGCCAGGGTTCATGGGAACAGCTGAATTTTTAGCACCTGAAAATGCCTTAATGTTTCAGAAAAAGATGAGGCACCAGGGATTATTATTTGTCATGTGTTTGTCATTCTCCTCATGTGAGCATCTCCCGTGTAACGACAAACCACTGGAACGCACAGAGCTGTGTGAACAAATGCTGTACTCTCCTAAACCTATGGCAAATGCTGTTTAATTATTGACTCTTAAGCTAAAATTGTTACAATGAATATGAAACAGGCCTTTTCTGTTAAAGAAAGATGTTTAACAAGTTGGGGGAAAGGAGAGGGGCTTAGGCGTTCCTGCACAGAAGGTTTTGCTAACTAAAATAGATGTTCAATCTGTCAGCGGTTGCTTACTGCTTCTGAAGATTAGTTTTTTTTTCCCCTGAAAAAGCAAACTGAATTTTAAGCAGGCCGGAACCGGCTGGGCAGACAGATCTGTCCCCCCAACCCATAATCGCTCATCGACGTCACTGAATAAAGTTTATTTGCGTTGCACGCTCCCAAATCAGCATGGCGGCAGAAAACTAAATTAAACACAATAATAATAAGTCACAATGCACGATTGTTCAATGTCCAGGAAATAGAATTATGAAGAAATAGTTTTCAAACGGTTTGTTCTCATGAACATCAATGTGTTTTCCCATTGCTTTTCATTTAAACTCACATCTACTGCCTTTAAAGAAAAAAACACTTACTTTAAAGTACATATCACCACGAAATTATTCCGTATGTACATCAATATTGATATGTTAATGAACCAGCACTTATAAAACATAAACACAGAATACAAACCTTTGATGATTCGGTTCTTCCATTGTTGTTACGGAACTCATTGGAAAATGAAAGCTTCCATTTTTTGTGATAACTACTGATGTTTTTTAACTTTATTTTGACATTGTACACTATTTATTTTGACACCGCACAAAACACAAAGAGGACACAGAAGCACCGGGGCGATAACATTTCCATCAGCAATTTGCATTTGTAAATTGAGTCATAAATATAAATTGTACCTTTAATTAAAAAATGGTGTTCCAACAGATTCTTTCACATCCAATGGCTGCCAAATTAGATTCGGGGGGGGACAGAAAGCAAAAATGCCTCTGTTTTGTTGCCCTTGCCTGTCTGATTACGAACCAATTATGACTACTAAGAATACTTCATAATTACCAGGGACAGACACCACAGATCTCCAATCTCGGGGACACAGTTGGAAAACTTCATTGGGTGTGGCATCTCTGGCGTTACGTTTTCAGGCCTGCCGGTCTCATCAGACGCAGCCAGAAGGCCCGCCAGTAATTTGCAGGTTTGGCAAAACCCTATAGAGAATCTTGACTTTGGTCACCGCTAGTCTCGGAAACAATTGCCGCAGATTCGCGAACAGATGGTCGTAACTGTTTTCCTGGCGATTTAATGAATGTACCTCCAGGTCATTGTTTAATTTTTTTTGCGGTAGCTTTGGCACCAGTGAATTCAAGTAGCCAATTTAGCACAACATCCGAAAAAATGAATCATAATAATAACAAACCCAGAAGTTGCCCAGGGTGCCGTGAAATTTACTGAGGACTGTAAATATATGTTCTGCGGCCCACTAAAATACCTGCCATCAGCGAACCACTGAGAGCCAGCTTCTGGAAATTTCTAAGCATTTAACTGCCCAGTGCCCTGGCGGGAGTCACCTGGACTTCAGGTATTGTCCTTCAAATGTGCTGCTGACTCATATCTAGAACACTGGGGTGTTGTTACTCCCCATCCAGATGAATCACTCCTACACCTCAGACTCCAAAGTGTTAACCTTTCTGTCACTCTGTCACACCAAGGTCAAAATGCATGTATGTTTATTTCCACCCCCACCCCCCCAAGGAAGAAAAAAAACAGATGACGATGACTGAAGACTGGGCATATGTCCAGTGAACTGTTGGTGCCCTAATGATGTCAATGAATGTCATTGGAACCTTTAGAGTGTTTCCTTTTACCCACAATGCAACGTCAGCCTGCCTCAATTTAACATTCAGCTCAGTGTTTATTACGCTCGTTTTCTGTAATCCACAGTCAACAAGAAACTGGTTCCCACTGTTTATTTGTAAATATTTGGCTGCTTCTCTTGATACCATGGTGACCCCAGAACAGGCAGAAAAAACATGAAAACGTGAAAGTGAAACTACCTCCGAACTGTATAAATATTACACTGGGCGAAGTGTATGAAACGTCATGGGAAAGCAGGCGACCCACTGGAAGGCTAGAAACGCTGCCCCAGTAGTGTGATATTTTACCCACTTAGCCCAGCACATATTTTTATGTCTGTTTACTGAAGTAGTTCAGATTAAGGATGAGTTTAAGTACCACACAAATCACAGAAGCTGGTCACATCCAAAGACAACAGCCAGTGGCCTTTGGCCAGCATAAACCTGTTAACCTGTTATTAACCATACAGGACATATTAAACAAATTATGATATATATATATATATATATATACATACACACACACACACAGTATTAAGAACAACAGCAACTATAATAATAATAATCTATAAACATGGACGTGAACAATTTCTTTTTAATCTGTGTGAACTAAACTTTGAGCTACTTTCTTGTTAAGTGTGAACTTCCACAATACAGCAGACAGACCTCCTTAACAAAGCTGTGCTTAACATCAATCTGAAAACTGCAAGGCATAATAATAATAATAATAATAATAATAATAATAATAATAATAAAGGAAATGTCATAGGCATTCAGTGATGAAACAGCATAAATCTCTCCATTGATACATCCTGAGTTACAGTGAATATAGATTTTCGCAGTTTCTGCAGTGGAGTGACATCTCACACTTGTCATCAGCTGAGCAGGACACACTGCCACCGGCTATGTGCACATTCCACCCATCTTTTATTCCTGTGCAAAGTGCCAGACTGCATGGTAACTGCATGACTGCCCCAAGCTCATTAAATCTGCTGCTTGGCGCCTTTGTTTATTTAAGCAGACAGCAGACGTTGGATCATGATACCGATCTACATTTTCAGATTCGCTTTTTATACATCGTTTTGCTTACTGATACTCCAACATTAGTCTATGATCTCCTGTTCGTATTTTGCTCCATCCACCTGGCAGCCGTGGTACAGCGGTCTCTCACGGTAATGCAGGGCAGGAGTTGGGTATCCTGCAGCAATGCCGATTCATTGCAGGCTTCTCTCTATTTTCTCTGCTACCTCCTGCTGTTATTTTTCCTTTAGCCGATAACACTGACAACGCTGCACTCTGATTTGTAAAGCAGCCATCCGATTCATTATGGGAAACCAGCACATCACTGGCATGAACAGGGGACACGCTTCAGCACAAGAGTCACGCTTCAATTTGTCTTCTTGCGGCTGAGGAACAGGGCGGCGTTTTTCGGCAGATGTCTAAGCGACTTACTCGGAAAATCGGTACGTACATAATGTGTGATGTACTTTCCGTCTCCCAGTCCGTGGCCATTGAAACATTCTGGGCGATGAATATTACCGCCAGTGGAAGACAAGCTAAGGTCCGACCACCAGCTGAGAGCTGTCACAGCCCATAATATGAACCAGCAGACTTGGTTAAGCACTCCCAAAAGTGTGGTGTTTTTATTTTTGTTTGTTTTGTTCTGTGGGTGGTTTCATATTCATTCATAAATCAAAGCGAAAAGCCCCTATTTATCAAGCTGCATGTGCATAGATGCCTCCCTCCCCATGTGCCCTTTAAAAATATGTCAAGCTTTCCCCACCAAAGGCTCCCAATTGCGGGGGGCACCTTACCAGGGAATAACTCTCCCAGAGGTCCGGAGAGACCACAGTCCCTCCTGATAAATACAGCTGACTCCCTGTCACACTTCTGTCCACTACGGTGAGGTACCCAGGGAATGAAGGAACTGAGTGGAGGTTCCCAGGGAATGAAGGAACTGAGTGGAGGTTCCCAGGGAATGAAGGAACTGAGTGGAGGTACCCAGGGAATGAAGGAATTGAGTGGAGGTTCCCAGGGAATGAAGGAACTGAGTGGAGGTACCCAGGGAATGAAGGAACTGAGTGGAGGTACCCAGGGAATGAAGGAACTGAGTGGAGTCCACCTTTGAGATGATTTGCTTATGATGCGTGAGTGTATGTTTAATGGTGATGGCTTGTTGCCTACACATTTTTAAATGCATAAATAATATAAAGATAATATTACAATCTTGTCAAGATACCCACCCACGCATTTTTAACGACTGTTGGTCCTGAGCTGGGCAGAACAGAAGCCCGTTTTAGGAAGTTTGGGGAACAAAGCAAAAGAACCTACTATGGGTTGAAAGTTCAATGGTAAATACATTGTATTTACCGTAAAAAAGAGAGGTGGGACTTAAGGTGTCTCCTCCACTTCTCACAGGATCTGGGCTTTTATACTTTCTTTAAGCTTCTGTAACTGTCATTTTCCACAAAGAGATATAAGAAAGCCTTTAGTGAAAGATGCGAGCGAACTCTTATCTTGTAGCGTTTTCACACAGATCCTGCGTGCCGTTTCATAGATTCACCCTTCAGTGACCCCGCAAATAGTCTCAATTTAGAGCAAATTACCAGTATAGATTAACACAGGGGAACCATCTGAAAACACTTAGGAAAGGCAAAGAATCTGGAGGTAGAAAGGACAACTTTCTTACGTTAAAACAGTGCACAGATGGTGAAGCACTTGGGAGAAGCTGAACAGGCAAAAACAAGACAATGGTCCTCCATGTTTTTTTGTGCTCATGCCATTCTGGGGGGGGGTGAAGCCCCTTGGCACAGGAAGTTTCTTGTGTGCCCAAAATCCACCACCAACACCCCCACCACCACCTCCCAGGCTGCCCTGCTGGGAAACAAGGAATGAGAAACTGTCTAACTGGTTAGCAACATGGTAAACAGTGGGGAAAAGCTGTCTTCACAGCAGGGAATCCATTCCTCAGTTTCTTAAGACTCTGTATGTGGTTGTGTATGTGACAGAGAGACAAATAATACTATTGGCTGCCTCAGAAGACCTAATAAAATCTGTAAGGGGATTGCTCAGTGGCAGGAATGACAGCACCAGGAGGCCTTGGCACTGATCGGCGCAATAATGGGAGACGATGTAAAAACAAATTCGAGAACCGGTGCCAAACTCTCTGCTAAAGCAGCCGTGTGTTTGTTTGTCAGTCTGTGCTTGGCGGCCCACTGAAATCCCCCACCATCTAACAGCCCATAGCATGGCATTTTGCAGACCTTCTCACTAGCCAGTAGGTATCCACATACTAATGAAAACCCTTGCTTAAAACAATTTTTGGTCATGTGCCATTCATTCGTTGCTCACGTTACATGTATTTTTTAGTGAGCTTTATGATGCTTGATTTTATTCATGAAATGGTTTCATTTCCTGGTTTTATTTTACCTTTACGTTTATAAATTCTCCTTGAAGACCGACATTTGATCTTTTCATACATATGCATCGCACGCCGGTATGTGGAAATCCGTTTACCTTTCTCTCCGGTTTTACAGCCGTCTGCTTTAGTGAAGTGAGATGCAGCTGATGGGCCAGAGGCGGTTAGTTTTACCCATTATGGATAAAGCGCTCGGCTCATTCTAATGGCACTTGGACGCCGCCGATTGCGTTGCTGTCGCCTAGAAGCGCAGAGAACAGCAGCTGAGAAGTGAAAATTGACAGCGACGAAGCTGAGCATTTAAAACCCATCGTAAGTAGATAGAAAAGAAGTTAGCATCTATCTGAATGAAGTCAGAAGACAATGGAGGAGAGGAAAAATTGAAGGGAAAATTAAACCATGGAGATTCCACAATTGGAGAGCTGGTGTGAGTTAAATTAGGAGGTATAAGGCACATTTCCACTCCCCTGCCACCAGACTCAGCGACGGTTTACCTCAAGTTTGTAGGGAGAAAAGGTGCTTCTAAATCAGCCAATAACCCACCAGCACCAATTAACCTTTCATTCACACGCATGTGATCCTAGTGCATGGTGAGGTCCCCATGCCTTCCACAGGGGGCAAATTAATGGGATCACAATTAGACAGTTTCAGTCAGGTCAGCAATGCATGCTGGGAAACAGACAGCAGTAGTGCCTCAAGGTGTGACTTTCTAAGATATTGGCAGTTCAAATCCCAGGAAACAGGTAAAACATCGCACGATAGAAGCAGACCTGCTTTCGATAAAAAGTATCAATTAATTACCAGCATGGCGTTTATTTATCACCTGGAAATGACCTGGATTACATTCCAGGGTCATTTTTATTAATACCACGGGGAACTAACCTGAGCGAACAGTAACATACAGTTCAGCCTTTTGTGAGGATTTCCTTGATAGCTTCATTCTTTTGTACAAACTGAATTCAGTTTGAATTCAATTTTAAATGTACATTGAAGGGCTCATATATTTTGCCAATCGCAATCAACCACTTGGCCCCCAATTAAATACAGGTGTGCAGGTATATTGGCAGGTTTAGAAACACTCCCCCTCACGGCACCGGACCACTGGGAAAATTCCAGAACTTCTGGAAATCTCATGCACTTCAAATGGATAAAAGCGGTGACCTCTGGCTCAATGCAGTGACCTCAGTCACCTCAAACGCTACACCCAATATAATTAAACTTTAAAATGAAGTTAAAATGGATCATGCTGCATCAAGCATGCGCAGAAGAAAAAAAAATTCAGTTTTTGGCCACTAATATAGTTGAGCTTACATGCCAGGATGCTATAGCAAAATCATTAAAGTTATAAACATGGAGGGATATTTAAAAATTTTTTGGCAAAGCAACGGAATCCTACCAGAGCAGAAATTAATCAGAAAATGGAACAAGTAGGGAGAGCGTGGAGAGGAGCAGTGTTTGTGCATGCTAATGCCAATGAGAAGGATCGCAAAATGGAGTGAGAAAAGTGCAATGTAGATGAAACGTCTAAAGTAGCTAACAGGCGTTGATAGAAAATGCTACATTGTTATGTATTTAAGTAATCAATAGTGCATTATCGTTGTTAAAGACTAATTTGTGTGTATGACGTCATTGTGGTCTTTATGAGCTCCAGCAGCTCAGAGTTTACAAACTCGGCACTGGGTGAACGACAACGTTAGCATTAGCATTGCTAACATTAGCATTAGCGGCAGTGCATCACAGACCTCATGTAGCCACCCTTGGCTGACAAGGCACAAGCGTAGCCAGATGTATGTCTGCTAGTTTCTGTCATAGAGCAGCCAATGTATAAATCCAATTTGGCTACTCCACGGTTACTTTGTCATAAAGTGTCTGCAGCGACACGCTCGCAGTGTGTGACGAATTGGGCATTTTGCGCTGAGTAGCCATCCGTATCCGCATTTTGTGAGGTAGACGTAAGAATAAAGGCTGCGATCACTCAGCCCTGCGACTTTCCGGACTTTTCCTTTGAGGTGATTCCCTGTCAGACTCTTGCAAGTCCGCGTGTCTCGTCGGAACCCCTTGGCGAAGGCTTATCACGGAGTCCTGACACATAAATCTGTGCAAATGTTCAAACACCATGGCCGTTTTCCCAAAAGCCCTTAGGAATACACTCAGTAATGTCATAGACACATGCACAGCAGACAGGCTCGCTGATTACTCTCGCCGTATCTGTCAACTCCGGGCTGATCTGACAGAAATGCTCCGTTCAGTTTTGCCCACTTCGTCAGCAGACGGGCAGGTTTCCGTATGGTGGCCACTGCTTCAGTTTATCTGTCGGCTCCCCACAGCTTGCAGAAGACCACCGGCGAGGCCGTTCATGAGTTTCTGAGCTTCCTGAGCTGACAATTTATTCATCAAAAGTGTGCAAGATATATATACTGTTTACTGGGGCTTTGACAAACTGCTATCAGTAATCTTCCCAAAACGTGCGACACATGTACACTGACAAAAAGTAGAACATACAGTATATATAACGCAAAATGTTAACTTTATTGTTTAATGTCTGTTTAACCACTATATTTTTGGTTCATAACATTTCACAAAGACACACTAGAACTAAAGGTAAAACACAGGTCCATCATAATGGGGGGGGGGGAGTTATGTCAATTCCAAGGCCGCTGAGTGACGGGGGACCTAAAAAATTAGGAACATAATTGGATTGGTGCCAATATGATACACTTTCAAAATCTCTAGCAGCAGCTCTGATAACACACATCCCCGATATTTAAACTTTATGCCATATCAGTCTCCTGAATTTTAATTACTCAATGCTTGGATAGATTTTTGGCATGCCGATGTTGTGCTTCTCAAGGACCCCAATGAGATGGAATGTCTGCCTTGAATGATACCTAACCACAACCCTTATTAAAATGCATTTCTACAACTGAAATACACTTCTCATATGCAGCTGAATGCAGGGCCATTTGACAATCTGGATATGCATTAAATGACTCATTTAAATATCTTTCATGGTACTGAATACTTATTCCATCCTTTTGTCGTGTC